TGTGTATTGAAGATTATTAGTTAATACTTATGGAAAATATGGTCTCGAAGATAAAAAAAAAATATCAAAAAAAAAAATAATAGAAAATATAAGTGTGGTTCTGCCTGTCAATGTCATACGCAAGAACACGTGGGAGATGGGGGGTAGGCTGGGGCGCATCCTCTCCCCCTCCATGGTACAAATTAGTTCCACTAAGTGAGTTGAAATATTAAAAGTGACCATGGCAGTAGGGATATTTAGGGATTCAGTTCCACATTCTTAATTTTCGCACCCCACCCCCCCCCCCCAGTTCCAAGGGGGGGGGGGAATTTCAATGTCATCTCTAAGAATGAAAAAAACTACTATCTACCACTAATACAAATATTCCGTATTTTTAAACTTTGCGCTTAAGTCGATGATTAACTATTACTGTAACTTAAATAAAGTACGGTCAATTCAAGTACTGTATTTAAAACTTCCGTATTTTCCATGATCTGGTTAATAATTTACACAATTTACCAAATATCAGTGAAGCATTGCCCTTGCAAGAAAAATTTACCCCTAGCTAGGGCCTATCTTCAGAAGTTGCAGCGTTTCTCGAAGCGGCGGTTCATACGCATGCGCATTCACATTTATATCGGGCTTAATCCCGAGAAAAAGCCCATCTCGAATTGAAGCCCCCCTCTTTAATCGCAAAAGTACGGTAGCATCGAAAAGAAGACCATTACCTAAGACAACATAGGCATCTTTTCGCCATAGCAACAGTACATACATTGTACACATGAATTTCAAAGAAACAAAATAAATAACACGCTTAGTTTCAAAGTGGTTTGGTTATTTTAAAGTACCGCAAACTAGCGCGAATTTTATTCTGCGTTTATGACATGCACGCGTACCGTAAAGGAATGTTGTATTCGACGGTTACCGAGGTACGAGTGCGTAAAAACACGTAGCAACACAACATAACATAGATAGAAACAATCTGCTATTTATTCATACAAAATTATCGGTGATGTTGATAACCGTAAAAGCTCGTGATTAACATATCAGCATACCTTAGTTATTATTTTTATTATATTATTATTTTATATATAAAGTACTGTAGGCCTAAACAAATACCGGTATGGAACTTGCAGAAAAACGAATGAGCGTTACCGCGTGTAATGTCTTCAACGAACTTCGACGAAGTCGTCAACTTTGCGACGTTGTACTAGAAGTTGAGGGTCGTGAGTTCCACGCCCATAAGAATATACTTTCCGCATGTAGTCCATACTTCCGAGCACTATTTACCAACGGTATGACTGAAAGTGATTTGAGTCGAATCCATATTCCCAATGTGTCATATAAAGTCATGAATTACTTGATTGAATTTGCGTATACTCGTGACATCACACTGACAGCCGACAACGTAGAGAGCATTTTTGCTGCGGGAGATCAGTTTCTTATACATGGTAAGTATTATAATTTTAAAGTCTGGTAAAGCCAAAACGAAAAGTAGATGTACTTCGTAGATGTACTCCCGTTATCTGCCTTTGTGTATACAAAAAAAACACCCCTTTATTTCCACTAAACCATTGGCGGATCTAAAAGGAGGGTCATCGGGGTCCTGACCCCCCCTCCCGCTTGGGCAAAAAAAAAAAGAAGTAAATTTCTAGACCAACTTTTTTGTTGGGGAAATTAGAAGTCGGGAAAGCTCATTTCCCGCCATCTAGGAATCACAATTTTCCCCCTCCCCCTTTTTCTTTGCGGTTTATCGATTCGTGGAAAAATGAATACAAATGCAACTACTTATTTTTTTTATGTAGGCCTATGTATACACACATAATTACTGTAAGAATGAGAAAGTTTGCCTGACCGTTTTCAAGGTGGGGGGGGGGGACCTTGAATTTTAAAAGACACCTCAGAAGTAGGGAAAGCTCCTTCCATCTAAGAATCAGAGCCCCCTCTTTGTTTTTGGAAACATTTTGACCTCCCTAATTTGAACACAAACACAAAGAAGCGCATGTGTGGTCGGAATGACGTTTGAAAGACACTACAGTGTAACTTACGGGACAGTGTCAATGAGATATGAATTGACTGATGAATGTTTTAGTCCAGCAAACTTTGGTTGGTTTTTTTTAAAAATTGGATATGATGTAGAGTAGACCTAGATAAATCAAAAAAGTATGTGCAACATTTTTTTTTTCATACGTAAGGGGGGTTGCCAGCCGTT